GGTGAACTGAAAGGAACAGAGCACAACAGAAAAGAGCAGTGGCAAGATAACAAAGTTTGAAGTAACATGCAACCATTAAAGATGGAAAGTTCTGTAATGAAATGGCGTCAATAGTACACAGGAAGTGTTACAAGGGAAGAGGAGGCCTAAGCCTGCGGTTTGTGGCTCGGAGAGGAGAAGGGAGCCACACGCTTCAATGACCGGGGGAATTCATAGATTCTGTGGCCAATACTAAGTGGATGGGTTTAATACCTTTTTCTAGTTTGCCTGGGGTGAAATGAGGTCATTCCGCTCGAAGTCAGCATCGTGGTTGGTCCTTCTGTCGCCCCAAACACTTGGCAGCAGTGTCCCGGGCCTTTCGGTGCATCTGTACCTAGGTGCGCCCTTTCAAGCAACTTGACCTGGAACACAACCGGCGGTGCCGAATTGGTAATGTCGTGTTGCGGGCCGCACGAAGGGAAAGATACAGGAAAGTCTGAGACCCGTGCTCAGTCAGTGCTGGTGACGCAGATCAGACGAACCACCCGCCGGACCTCGAGCAGAGCTGACTGTCAAATTGCCACAGCCCGAGAGAGATTTCTACCTACAAACACAAAACAGGATGAAGAACAATTGAACCTCAACGTGAATTAAAGCTCTTTTATCTAAATCAAATTGAGTGTCTTTTTTTTTTTTTAGAAAAATCAAAGGCAACGGCTTTACTAAAATTATGGTAAAAACAAAGGGAATTATGACAATGTTAATTATCAGAATAACCTAGTCTCCCTTCGGAGGAGAGTTTTAGAGCCGCAGGAAGAGCACAGGAGGAAGCAGGCTGTAGTGGCGCGTTTGGGCCACAAAGGGTTTTGGGCCACTTCCTCTTAGTGGTCAAGCTGGCTGACAGAGAACTTGATTTAAATTGCATTCAAACTGGTTTAAATACGATTCAAATCAAGCGTATTCATAGATGTTAAGTAACTTCTAGAACAGCAAGGAGACAGTTGTAATAAAATCAAATCAAAATTATTAAAAATAATTTGAAAAGGGAAATATAGAAAAAGCCATAAAACAATTCCCAACGGGCAATGAGACTTAATTCAAATTAACCTTGAAATCGGTTTGTTTCAAACCAAATTTGAATAAGTGTAGGAAATTAAGGGTTGGCCTTATATTTGATGATCACGACCACAGTGAGGTGTCAGTGGTAGTAACCAACATAAGATCAACTGGGAGAAAGCCATTTCAAAACAGAGCGGTCATCAGAAACTGCTAAGACATAATTTTGAATTTTTTAAGTTCAAATGTGGTTTGAACCAAAATCCAAAACAAGTGCACACAGTCAAGGCAGGGAAAATCATGTTAGTAAACGAGGCTGTAAATTGCCATGCATTGAAAGTTAGAAACACGAGTTCAAAATCTCACTGGTAAACTTTGAAGTTGTGGGAAGAGAAAATTGAAGAAAAGACGCTTTACCGCTAGTGTCCACACGATGGCGCTATTGCGCTCATGGAGGGTAAAGTCAGGACGTGGAGGCCGTCTGATACTGGGAAACTCAAGGGCGCGCCCTAGCGTTTGGCAGTAGCATTGCAACCCGCCTGCTTTCACAAGTGACTGTCTCAGAGGACGTGCAAAGAATTACACGCCTCAATTGCTGCATCAATCCGAAATAGTGCGGAATTTAAATATCGACGGATTTCTTTCCGGTTCTATATTTCACAAAACGGCGTGGCAGGATTTTTCCTACACACACACATAGGGACAACAGGAATTACACGTCTGTCGTTCGGATACAAATACATTTATCAAATAGCATTTTATGATTTACAATGTTTTTTAGGTTTTGGATTTTTTTTCGATGCTATGTTTTACAAGCACATCTAGCAGGATTCGTCGCTGCGTTGTGCGAGAGAAAACAGGAATTATTCATCTGTTTTCGACTCCAAGCATATATCAAATAGCACTTGTGATAATATGCTTTTCGGTTTTTTACAATTGAGTAGCTAAGTCAATGTTTTAACCAGGAGTTTTTATCGTTAATCTAACGATTATAAAATAAGGCCTTTTTAAGAATAGTGAAAGAGCATCGATTCACTAAATCTTGTCTTCACCCTGACAGAAGAACATCGTTCGGACAGGGGAGTTTAACATTAAAAATGTCGTCGTTCAAAAGAGGTTTCTTCGTCTTTTGTGGGACAAATTTAATACTATGAACTGCAGTTTACTTTTAGTTATTAACAATGGCAAACGGAATGTCAGACATTATTTTGCAGCGGTGAGTTCGCATTGCGTTCGCTCACTCGAGGCGCACGTACAATATTAAATCACAATATAGACATAGATTGAAAACTGATTTTGCTCATAAAACAAGTTTAAAATGTGCCCGCATTCTCCACCATTTGTAAGGATTCAGGGCGGATCTAATCCGTGGGGAATTTGCATAAATTAATTAATAATTGGTAATTAATAATTATTCATACATGTTTGGATTAGATCAATCTTACATTGAATTTACTCTCCCTCTAAGGGAGGATCTATCACTTTACCTGCATGCATACGTGTATCCTTGCATTTTAACTACAAGTTGATTGCTTAGATCACGTTTTACAGACAGGTAAAATTTAATTAGCTCAATTGTCAGATTAATATTGGGGAAATCCCACATATCATCTTACTTCATAGGATTTCAGGAAACGCAATTCTCTGGCCAGAAGAACTGGGTTTTCTGCCCTATAAACACATACTCTTTAAAAGTATTTTTAATTTATAAAGCCGTAGCTTGATCTATTCACTTCAGAGACCTGGAGTATGAGCAGACACAGTAACATCAATCAAAATGAATATAATGGATTTAATAAAGGCATGACTACTTATGTATTTACTACGGTTACATGGGATATATGTATTTACAAACACATAGACAACAATGAACAATACAATAAGACATCAATGAACGAGAAATGCATAAAGTTTGGACAATGGATAACGTACACGCGTGAGCGAGTAAGAGAGAGAGGAAAGGGGATGGGGAGAGAGAGAACAGAGAAATTGGGAGAATTTCATTGGCAGGAAGACATTCACCTCTCCGATTACAACACGGAACATCATCTTAAAACTTCTTAGAAGCTCTATAAAGAGATTTATACTTGCAATCAACGTATGTTATGGTTTCTCTCTGTGCCGAAACAAAACATTCCTGTACGGCCCTGTCTGGCCGCGTGAGCTGAGTCCTTTGGGTGTGAGGAAGCGTCACGTGGGTTGCGTGGCGCGCGTGTTGAACGGAGGTTTACAGTCTTTGTTGTAACATTTCCAAAGGGAAATAGTTCGGCTAAGTTCGTTTCACTTCGTGGAAGTGAACTGAGTCGGCTACGGAAAACAAAACTTTGACTAACAAAAAGGGAATAAAGATCTCTACGGGGAAATCACGCGGAGTTAACGTTGCATCTTTCCATGGCTTTGAAGAAGCGTGTGTGTCTCTCGGTCCGGCGCGTCACGTGGTCACGTGCGCGTGTTTCTCCTTCAAAGAGAGCGCGCGCTCGTTTAAAGGTCCCTGGTAGATGGATTTGCTGAAGAGATATGTCACGGTCACGGGGTTTCCTTTTCAATCGTCGATTGGAATTAAACACAGAGACTTATCTACAAATGAAAAACACAACTAAACTAGAAACAAATAAAAGAAAGGCGAAGAGCTCGCCCGGAGGCGAGACGTTACATCATGACACGGGAGGAAGAGAGCGAGCGCAGAGGAGAAGCGTCATTTATCACACTATGAGAAATCCAGCCTCTTCCTGTTGGCTTGGCCAATTAGAGGGTTGGAAGTTTACAGGCGGGACTTTGGGTTTATGGCCCTTTGTCTCCAGAGAGAGACATCTGAAACCCTAATCTCGTCGGTTGTTTAAGAGAAGAATCTTCACAATTCTTATAATACTAATGTGTCACAAAGTTTAGCAAAATGTAATGTCAATTAACAAATGGGGAACGAAGATTGGAGTTTATCGAGACCAAACTTGCCACCAATGGATTTGGTTAAACATTAGTTGGCAAAGTTTGAACATTATCCCATTAAGAGTTGTCGAGAAACATAGACCAAACCACAGAAAGGCAACTCATGAAATAGGGAACTTAGATACGTCGTTCATACAATTCTCAAGTGGATATATAATAGCATATATATATGAATACAGGATTCATTTCTCCTCCTTGGTTAGAATTCAGAGAGAGAGAGAGAGAGACATACTTCTCTGACATTCCTGGTGCGGTCGTAAATGCTGTTATCTAAGGCCCCAGGCTCTGACAGCATGTTAAGTTTTGGTTCTTACTGTCCCCAAAAGCTGGTGCACATAGAATCATAACTTTTACTGTAATTTCTTGTATCTGATTAATTCCGCTGGATCATGAGAATTAAAACAAGACCAAGAATGACGTATAACAATACTGGGGAATAGACAGTTAAATGTAAAAATGCATAATGATAAAGTCACAGTTATTCCAATGTGACATGGGCAAATGGACACACATAAAAACACATCAAATATATCTGGTTGAATGTCTTTTAAAGAAAAGAAGTTCCTTTGGGACCTTCCAAAAATGTCATAAAATGTCTTAATGTCTTGTAAGCGGACACCGCGCTCTGTCCTGAGTGTGGGTGTCAGCTGTGGGGGAGGTGTGTGTGTGTGTGTGTGTTTTTTCAAGTTCCAGGCCTTTTGGAGCTAAAGGCTTTGGGATTTTAGCACGAAGGTATTTAGTTATTCAGATTCACCCTGGCCCAGTCCTTACACAGCTGTAGGGCTGCTGTTTGGATGTCACATGATGGAAGCTATTACGACTCGCCACTCCCCAAATATTCACATTCCCGACGAAATGGAAAGGACAGGAGATTTGCTGTCCCTTTTCCCCTCAGTCTTTACCAAATTAAAGAAATTAAAATTTCGTCTATGACATACAGCTGGAGATGAGAGGGGTTAATAATACAATGCATACAAATATATATATATGGGGTCAGTATGATTTTTTTAATACTTTTATTTATACATCTTTACAATCAAATAAATGCTGTTCTTTAGAATTTTATTTTCATCAAGAAAAAATAAAAGAAAAAAACGTCACACTTTCCCAATAAAATTACCAGCACAACTGTTTTCAACACTGATACTAATAAGAAATGTTTCTTGGGCAGCAGATCAGCATATTAGAATGATTTCTGAAGGATCATGTGACACTGAAGACGAGTAATGACTGCTTTGCCATTTTAATGTATTAAAATAGAAAACGGTTATTTTAAATTGTAATAACATTTCACAATATTATGGATTTTGCTGTAATTTTGATCAAATAAGTTCAACATAAGAGACATTTCAAAAACATTAAAAAAATCTTACAGACACCAAACTTTTGAACGGTCTTGAACGATATACAGTATATATAATTCATATATGATCTTAATTCATGAACTTAATTCTTTGTTTATTAAAACATTTATAATGGTAAAACTTTTAAATCAATCCAGTCATTCTCAGAAATACAAATAAATATACAAGTAGACTAATTTATACCACTACTAACTTATTCAACAACAGGGCACTGAAATTGAAAAATTTGAAAGAATAATTTACAAAATGGATACCAAACAAAGTGCAATCCCTACAGTATGCAGCCATTAAAGATAACAAATATGGTTACAATTTATTTTCTCTTATGCAAGTGTTGATTTTGACTTGATAGTGGAGCTTTCAGAGTGAAAAATGACAATAAATAAGTTAAAAATACACCCTGCTCAAATGATTCATTGTAAGTGAAAACTAAAATCAGTCTATTCACTTTACTGCACATTTACCTTTGGTTAGTTTTCGATTAAGTGAGATCCAGCAACAATTTTAAATAGAAACTGAAGGGAAATTTCCTTTTTCTACCAAATCATGAAAATAAACTAAGCCACAGCAATATATCAGAGAGAATTCAGCTATGAAAGTCTATTATTAGCTTTGCCAAAATCTGTTTTATTCAAACAACCTGAAAGCCTGTAGCTTCCAAAATAAATACACTGACACTGAATATAAATGTCTGCACATCATGTGATCCAGGGGTGCATCATATATGACAAGCAACAAAACTGGTCGCATGCACTTTCTGTTTAATATATATACAAAAACAACGCAACAGATCCACAAAACTAGTTTCTGGAGGGATTTAAAAGCACAGCTTCAAAAACAGTCCTTCCTTTCACAAAACGTGACATTTCTCATAATCTCTTCAGTCACACCATATCAATAAACTGAGCAACTTTTCACGTGACAGCACAATATGTTTTCATTTCCTATTAAGAAAGATTCACTTGATTCATATACTGTCACACAACCAAACCCAGAGCACTGAGACCTGAGTCATGTAAACTAGCAGTGCTTAACAAACTCCGGCACCTCCATGGTCATTTTCAGCTCTAGATTCCCCGGCTGCTCTAGGACAAACACAGGGTGGCAGGGCTCTGTGAAGGTGTGCTGAAAAGTGCCCAAGAGCTGCCCGTTCTGAGCATTGAAGAAGAAGAGCCGACCCTGACTGTAGTCCAACAGAGTGCCGATCCGCGCAGGCATGTCCACAACAAAGATGTCAGACTCCACACGGTCATGAAGTAGTTCAAATCTGCAGCTGGAGAGAAGACGGGTTAATACAACACATTCAATATATCAAATAATGACCTTTCTATTCATCAAAGAATCCTGAAAAAAAATTTGCATCATGGATTAAATCAGCATACAGTATTAGAATGATTTCTGAAGGATCATATGACAGTGAAGACTGAAGTAATGATGCTGAAAATTCAGTTTTGCCATCACAGAAATAAATGACAGTAACACAACACAACAGTTTGTACTGTATTTTTGATCAAATAAATGCAGGCTTGAGAGACTTCTTTCAAAAACATAAAAAAAATCTCTTTTAAATGGTAGTATATATGCAATGTGAACATTGATTCCATCAATACCTTTTTTTTTTTTGTCATCCATTTATTCCAGAACCAAAAGTGTCTGATAATGGGCACACTACTGATATTCAACTGGTCATGTGATCTCCCCAGTTATGTAGAATAAAATAGCTTTTTTTTTCTTGACCACGGAAATGGCTGCAGTCTTTATCTCAGATGTACAGGTACGTCATATTTCTAAGTATGAACCTTTGGGGAAAATGACTTATTTTACCTTTAAAGTTCAACAATTTACAGTGTTGTCAATAAAAAAAACTCACATTTTTTACAGATGTACTCCCAATGGCTGGGATCTGACAGGACCCTAGTTGCTGATGTGCAAACTCTAACATCATACACAATATACAGTACCTTCATAGTAGTGGACCTGGGATTTTTAGAAGTAGGCCTAGACAAGACTTTTTTCAAATACGTATTTAATGGAAGACTGAGAGCTTTTTTAATGAGAGAACAGATTTAATGAGAGATTTTTTTTAATCTTTTTGAAGGCTCAATTTAATGTACCTCCCTGATTGCCAAAAAGCCTTAATTACAGTGTTTCCACAGTTTGGAATACAGCTCCAAATGTCCTACCAGCTTGTTTATTTAAACTGAAAAGAGCTGCTGGAAAGACTTTTAAATGTTACTGTTCAAAAAAATATTCTATGACCTTTGTATCTAATCCTTTTTGGAGCAATGAAACACATGAACAAATACATGCAACTACATCACATGAATGGTATACCTTATAGATGTAGGTACACAGTGCAGACACCAGGAGGCCCTGTTCTCCCCCAGTGTGCTGGTCAGTGATACAGTTTGATATGCGACACCGATGCGGTAGGCTTTGCACCTTGACACCTCTGTCTCCCAGTAGTAATATCCAAGAGAAGGCAAAAGTTCACCCATAACAGCTGGACATCTAGGAACAAGTACAAAAAAAAAAGAGAACATGCATTTTCTGCAACTTAAAGTCCCTGTAAAGGCAATTTCAAAAAAAAATTCTAAACACTTTATAAATGTTAGAAATGTATTGCTAAAACATATTACAAAGACTGTGAACTGTGAAGTACTGAATTGTGGAGTTAGACCGTTAAACAGTTTTTCACCATTGCTATTTTCCGGATTTTCTGGGCGGGGCTAAAACAGGGCTCGATGACGCACTGGAGCCCTTGAGCTCCTGGACACGCCCCTACTTGATGACGCACTGGAGCCCTGAGGCTGGCCGCTCCTAACAATATTATAGAGCAGATTCACATCAGTGTGCCGCTCAATCGCGAGTTACTGTCAGTACTATTATTAGTAACACAGCCTACAGATTGCTAGCTACTAGCTATGCCTTCGTCACGGAAATGCGTAGGCCTACTACCTGGATGCGATCACCGGATCACGTACAAAACAGATCGGTGCCCTTGTTTAAATTTCCGAAAAACGATTACATCAAGAAGAAGTGGATTAATTTTGTGAAGAGCCACCTTGATGGAGAGCTGAGGATCACCGCCAAAACCCGCCTCTGTAAGTGATCATTTTACACGGGATAGTTTTATAAACTTTCGTCGGAGATAACTGTCTGGGATTCACTGATAATCCGCTGTTACTGGTGAATGGGGCCGAACCGACTCCCGCCTCAGCCTTCATCCTCCCGTCGCGCCGACAACTGGTGCCATCATCGGCAGTGCGTGGCCACCGTGCGAGCATCCATTCCGGCTGTAGAGTTGAGTGTGGCGAGTCGACGGCAGCTTTCCCGCGAGTGGGCGTGGTTTCAGCGCAGCCAGTGGACACACCCCCAGCGTTTGAGAGCAGAGATTACTGCTCATTTTTTCAAGATTTTGATAGCTTATTTTATGTACTTGCTGACTTTTTTTATCATTCAAATTTGGCTGGGTGACTAATAACAAATTTTTCTGTGGTGTGACAAACTCAAAACACATACTTAATTTTGACTTTACAGGGACTTTAAATCATTTGTGAAACAATATGTGGTGGTTCACAAATCTGAAACCAAAACATGAACAGCATATGTTGTGCAATTTAACAATAAATGGTTGTTTTTTCTGCATAAAACTATGTATCTACAGTGGTAGATTTGTAATGGTGATAACTGCACTGAGGTACTTACTCTATGATTGAGGACATTTTACTGTAGGTGTCTTGTGGGTATTCTACCGAGTTCCTGTCCTCTGAAACCTCCAGCACTGAGTTGGCCGTTTCACTGAGGAAGCGGAACCTTGTACCTTGACAAATAACAACATTCACTAGTCACCAAAAAAACCACCACAAATAAAATGCAAGAATTTTGTTACAATTGTGATGCTGTCAAACTAACTAAAGGTGTTTGACAGATTAGTGAAATTTCATGGGCAAGAAAAAGTCCATTGTCAATAGTGTAGTGATGGATGAAGCACGGCTCACACAGAAGTCACTTTCAAACCAAGCAGCTTTCTGTCGATCAACACGGCGAATCCATCTGACCAACTGTAAAAATCGGGAAATCTTTCACCCTCACGCAAAACTTGCATGGATTCCTATTGCAATGACTGGATTTCGCCCATGAAAACTCGCCGGACAACAGGCAAATGTGTCAGACTGATGATGTAATAGCGGTGAATCTGACCTCTGGTTGAGATAAGGGTCGCCTCGCTCTGCTCACTGGCTCCTCCTGCATTCACTGATTTGATGTAGAAGAGGTAATTTTCATTGGGCTGAAGGAGGACCCTCTGCTCATAGCCTTTTATCCCTGATATGGATCTGTGTATGGAGAGACTGTTTTCAATAAGTGCAGTGTTACCCTCTGTAATGCTCTGATCGATGTGCACCCTTGAGGAATCATGGGGAACTGTGTTCAATGGATTCAGTGTACAAGCTCTTAGTGAAATATGCTACATTAAATAGTAACATTAAGTGCCACTGATGGCAATTAATGAGTATATTTAATACCATAGAGAAGACGTTTGGTGTAATTTTTAAAAAATATACATTTCACCAATAAAGTCAGAATAAACTGGAAATTGTGATTTTTCTTCACTAATGTGACAATATCTGAAAGAAATGGCTGCTCGAACAAGAAACAAAAAATGTAGGGTGGGAATTGATTGGATGGTTGTATTTCCTTTGGGGGGGAGGGGGGGGGGGGATGTTTTTGATTAAAGCCTAAAGTCCTATTAAGCTTTTTTACATTTTCAACTTTATTTACTCTGTTTATTGCTGTTTGAGCTTAAAAACAGTCTGCAAAGTTACAAAGCACAAAGTCCACTCCAAAGGGAGTTATTTTCTACATCAGTAAGCACTGTTTCTGAACTCTCTGAAACACCTCGATTGTAGTCTTGGGTTTTCATCCAGAAACATACACATCATAATATCACTCCTTTAAATAATTCCTGCCCAAAGCATATGCAAAAAAAGTGGGCGAGGCCTGGATGAATTGCATTAGTAGTGATTTGAAACTCATGGACTTAATCTGAAATCGCCCGTATACCCTCAAATAAGGCGTTATTTGAGGGGAAAGTCATTTGTAGTGGTGTCCGAAACCATAGTGGGCGTTATTGAGTGCACTTATTCAATCCCACATTGCACGGCAATAATGAGTGCACAACTGATGTTCGCTCAACGGCTGTCCGAATTCGCTTACTCCTTTTCATTCACTCCTTCAACAGTATTAGTGGGCTAATGTAGGTAATAGTGAATGAGGGTTTTTCGGATTCAGCCATGGTTATGGTAAGGGGCGTGACATTTCCAAAACCTGCTCAAAGCGGTTGACCAATCACAACACACTGGTCCAGCCGACCAATCAGAGCACTTGCGCTTTTTGGAAGGAGGGATAAAATAAAATACAAAAAATATTTTGTTATTTTGTATTTTGTAACTTTAAAATAAAAAAGTTACCATAACACTTTTTAACAAAACATGAAAAAAAGATGGTTTTCTCTAGACCCCTTGTGCTGTTTCTCCTTGTACAGAGGGCTGGTTAACCGTACCTGAGTCCCTCTCTCTCGCATGCATACTGGCGGCAATACTCCAGTGTGAAGCAGTCTACAGCACTGGGCTGAACTGAGCTCCAACGCAGCGTGGCCGTGTCCCACAGCACTGTGCACTGTTCTGTCTGGATCACCGGGACAGAGGGGGCTAGAGAGAAGACGATGAGCTGAGTTACTTTTCAGACACTGACTAAAAGATAATCACAAGTTTGTTTTGCTAAATGTGAACACTCCATATTTAATCTGGATTGAAAACACATACACTTTGGAATTCGCATTCCATGTCAGTGATCTAGTAAAGAGCCTCTACATGGTCATCTCATTATGTATTGATATATTATGACACACAGCATGATCTCTTGCTCTCACAAACATCATGCAAGTCAGAGGGGATTTGCACAGAGTAACTAACCGGTTCTGAAGGGCAGTCTCTCACTCGGCATGCTGCAGCCTGTGTAGTTCACCGCCATCACCCACACTTTATAACACTTATCCGGCTCCAGCTCTTCTAGATTACAGTAGCTCTCCTTCACAGTCACCCTGTACTCCTCTGAGATAGCTGCAGATAAGATTACATTTAACACACTTTAACTGAAGCACGTGGCTCAACTGAGCATCCCTTTGACATACTTTTACATACTAATAAGAGTTTGTAGTACTGTCAGATTGAAAAAAAAAAATCTGTGAATGTTAAAGGGATAGTTTATGCTTAAAACTATATTTTGAACAATGTTTCAACTGATTTTATCAATAAAAAAACATTGGACCCATTGACTTTTTCAAAATATCTTCTTTTATGTTCCACAGAAGAAAGTAAGTAATATAGATTTGGTGACATGATGGTGAGTAACTGATTTTAACAATTTAAGCATTTAACCCACAATTGCAAGGATGTTTTATACTGATAATAGTAACATAGTAATAGAATTATTCATATATTCATAGTAATTAAGAATATATGCCATTCTATATTATATACAGTGCTGGGTAGATTCCTTACAAACTGTAATCCATTACTGAATACAAATTACATGATGAAAACTGTAGTTAGTAACATAATCTATTACATTACACATTTTAGGTAATATAATCTGATTACTTTCTGACTACTTTTGAGTTAACTCATTTATCACATTGATTTGAATATAATAATCTTGTAGCATATTGATATAATAATGCAAAGAGCAAAAGAAAAATGTATTCCACTCTTTGTTAGCAACAATGTGAAGTGCATTAAACATATGTCAGGTTTTCATAAATCATTGAAAAGCTAATAATGAATTAAATCTTGAAAATGTTAAATTAAAATAAAAATATAAAATAAAACACTTACTAAAAAATATTGTACTTGTTTATGGTGTGTGGCCTCTCAATTATCCATGTAATTATAGCTGCCTAACTAGTGGCCATTCTTGTGTGTGAAATTCCACAGAACTAGAAGACTTTCCGAACATACGGTTTACAAGCAATAGGATTTTTTTTAGAATGAAACATTTAAAAGATAAAATTAGGAGAATTAGGAAGAATCATTTAATTATGATTCGTAAATGTAATCAACAAAAAGTAACTGTGGTCTGATTACATGTATTTTAAAATGTAATATAATCTAATTACAAAATTTAATTTTAGGAATCTGATTATGTAATCCAGATTACATATAATCAGTTACTACCCAGCACTGACTATATATAACATTTAAATCAAAAGTAAAAAAAAAAAGAAGAAATTAATACTTTTATTGAGCATGAATGCATTACATTGATTATACACTCACCTAAAGGATTATTAGGAACACCTGTTCAATTTCTCATTAATGCAATTATCTAATCAACCAATCACATGGCAGTTGCTTCAATGCATTTAGGGGTGTGGTCCTGGTCAAGGCAATCTCCTGAACTCCAAACTGAATGTCAGAATGGGAAAGAAAGGTGATTTAAGCAATTTTGAGCGTGGCATGGTTGTTGGTGCCAGACGGGCCGGTCTGAGTATTTCACAATCTGCTCAATTACTGGGATTTTCACGCACAACCATTTCTAGGGTTTACAAAGAATGGTGTGAAAAGGGAAAAACATCCAGTATGCGGCAGTCCTGTGGGCGAAAATACCTTGTTGATGCTAGAGGTCAGAGGAGAATGGGCCGACTGATTCAAGCTGATAGAAGAGCAACTTTGACTGAAATAACCACTCGTTACAACCGAGGTATGCAGCAAAGTATTTGTGAAGCCACAACACGTACAACCTTGATGCGGATCATGGGCTATAACAGCAGAAGACCCCACCGGGTACCACTCATCTCCACTACAAATAGGAAAAAGAGGCTACAATTTGCAAGAGCTCACCAAAATTGGACAGTTGACTGGAAAAATGTTGCCTGGTTAGAATTTGGCGTAATCAGAATGAGAACATGGATCCATCATGCCTTGTTACCACTGTGCAGGCTGGTGGTGGTGGTGTAATGGTGTGGGGGATGTTTTCTTGGCACACTTTAGGCCCCTTAGTGCCAATTGGGCATCGTTTAAATGCCACGGCCTACCTGAGCATTGTTTCTGACCATGTCCATCCCTTTATGGCCACCATGTACCCATCCTCTGATGGCTACTTCCAGCAGGATAATGCACCATGTCACAAAGCTCGAATCATTTCAAATTGGTTTCTTGAACATGACAATGAGTTTACTGTACTAAAATGGCCCCCACAGTCACCAGATCTCAACCCAATAGAGCATCTTTAAACTTATCATTGTATCTAAACCAACAACATGTTTATTAGATCCAATACCCACTAAACTACTGAAAGAAGTGTTACCTGTAGTGGAAGAGCCTCTTCTCAATATTATTAACTCGTCTTTATCTTTAGGTCATGTTCCAAAAATATTCAAGCTGGCAGTTATAAAACCTCTCATCAAGAAACCGCAATTAGATCCAAATAACCTAGCAAATTACAGACCCATTTCCAATCTTCCATTTATGTCTAAAATACTAGAAAAAGTTGTGCCCGCTCAATTGTGATCTTTCTTGAAAGAAAATGATATCTATGAAAAATTTCAGTCAGGATTCAGACCGCATCATAGCACAGAAACTGCGCTAGTTAAAATTACAAATGATTTACTTTTAGCTTCTGACCAAGGCTGTATCTCAATACTAGTAGATACTATAGATCATAAAATACTCTTGGATCGACTACAAAACTACACTGGTGTTCAGGGACAGGTATTAAGCTGGTTTAGATCGTACTTATCAGATCGTTACCATTTTGTCTGTTTAAATGGGGAAAAATCGAAGATAACGTCAGTAGACTATGGAGTGCTGCAAGGATCGGTGTTAGGCCCTCTGCTATTCTCAATATATATCCTGCCACTTGGTAATATTATAAAACATGGAATTAATTTCCACTGTTATGCTGATGACACTCAATTATATATTTCATCACGACCAGATGAAAACACTAACATATCTGAAATTGACAGAGTGTCTTAAAGATATAAAATGCTGGATGACGCGTAATTTCCTGCTACTAAATTCAGATAAAACGGAGGTATTACTTATTGGTCCAAAAAACTACCCACAAAACCTCTTAAAATACAACTTTAATTTAGAAGGATGTCCTGTTACTTTATCCACTACTGTAAAAGACCTGGGTGTTATACTAGACCACAACTTGTCTTTCGAAAATCATATTTCATATGTTACAAGAACAGCCTTTTTCCACCTTAGAAACATTGCTAAGCTACGTAACATGCTATCTGTTTCTGATGCAGAAAAGTTGGTTCATGCATTCATGACCTCGAGACTAGATTACTGTAATGCTTTATTAGCCGATTGTCCTGCATCCTCAATAAACAAGCTACAGTTAGTGCAAAATGCTGCTGCTAGAGTTCTTACTAGGTCAAGAAAATATGATCATATAACACCAATTTTATCATCTCTACACTGGTTACCTATCAAGTTCCGTATCAATTACAAAGTACTTCTACTGACCTATAAAGCCCTAAATGGTCTAGCTCCTGTGTATTTAATGGACCTTCTATCGCCCTACAATCCATCGCGTTCTTTAAGATCACTAAATTCGAAGCTTCTGGTCATTCCTAGGATATCCAAGTCCACTAAAGGAGGGAGGGCGTTCTCGCATTTAGCTCCTAAACTCTGGAATAGCCTTCCTGATATTGTCTGAGGCTCAGACTCGCTGTCCCAGTTTAAAACTAGATTAAAGACGCATCTCGTTAGCCAAGCATTCATATAATGCTTACCTTTTATACTACTGTTGAATCAGATCGAATCCATTAATATTATGAACAGCAGCTATGCTAATTATTTCCCATCTGCTTTTCTGCTGTTATCTCGGGACGCTAGTCCCGAGGTAAATAGCGTTCGTCAGCTCCAGCTTGTATCCAGCCTCTCACGGAGACTTCAGATACCTCAACACCTGCGATGAGACGACTCGACGCCTGTGAAGAGACGACTCGACGCCTGTGAAGAGACGACTCGACGCCGGCGATATGTTATGCCCTAAATTAATACATGATTAACTAACTGTATTTTTTCAATGTACATTTCTGAAATGCACTTTCTGTAAAGCTGCTTTGAAACAATGTGTATTGTGGAAAGCGCTATACAAATAAATTTGAATTGAATTGAATCTTTGGGATGTGGTGGAACGGGAGCTTCGTGCCCTGGATGTGCATCCCACAAATCTCCATCAATTGCAAGATGCTATCCTATCAATATGGGCCAACATTTCTAAAGAATGCTTTCAGCACCTTGTTGAATCAATGCCACGTAGAATTAAGGCAGTTCTGAAGGCGAAAGGGGGTCAAACACAGTATTAGTATGGTGTTCAATCCTTTAGGTGAGTGTAAGTGACAGTAAAAACATTTATGTTACTCATTTATTTTTTATTTAAGATAATACAGTTTAAAAATAAATAAATATATATACACTCACCGGCCACTTTATTAGGTACCCCATGCTAGTAACGGGTTGGACCCCCTTTTGCCTTCAGAACTGCCTCAATTCTTCGTGGCATAGATTCAACAAGGTGCTGGAAGCATTCCTCAGGGAGTTTGGTCCATATTGACATGATGGCATCACACAGTTGCCGCAGATTTGTCGGCTGCACATCCATGATGCGAATCTCCCGTTCCACCACATCCCAAAGATGCTCTATTGGGTTGAGATCTGGTGACTGTGGAGGCCATTTTAGTACAGTGAACTCATTGTCATGTTCAAGAAACCAATTTGAAATGATTAGAGCTTTGTGACATGGTGGAAGTAGCCATCAGAGGATGGGTACATGGTGGCCATAAAGGGATGGACATGGTCAGAAACAATGCTCAGGTAGGCCGTGGCATTTAAACGATGCCCAATTGGCACTAAGGGGCCTAAAGTGTGCCAGGAAAACATCCCCCACACCATTACACCACCACCACCAGCCTGCACAGTGGTAACAAGGCATGATGGTTCCATGTTCTCATTCTGTTTACGCCAAATTCTGACTCTAACATCTGAATGTCTCAACAGAAATCGAGACTCATCAGACCAGGCAACATTTTTCCAGTCTTCAACTGTTCAATTTTGGTGAGCTCTTGCAAATTGTAGCCTCTTTTTCCTATTTGTAGTGGAGATGAGTGGTACCCGGTGGAGTCTTCTGCTGTTGTAGCCCATCCGCCTCAAGGTTGTGCGTGTTGTGGCTTCACAAATGCTTTGCTGCATACCTCGGTTGTAACGAGTGGTTATTTCAGTCACTGTTGCCCTTCTATCAGCTCGAACCAGTCTGGCCATTCTCCTCTGACCTCTGGCATCAACAAGGCATTTCCGCCCACAGAACTGCCGCTCACTGGATGTTTTTTCTTTTTCGGACCATTCTCTGTAAACCCTAGAGATGGTTGTGCGTGAAAATCCCAGTAGATTAGCAGTTTCTGAAATACTCAGACCAGCCCTTCTGGCACCAACAATCATGCCACGTTCAAAGTCACTCAAATCACCTTTCTTCCCCATACTGATGCTCGGTTTGAACTGCAGGAGATTGTCTTGACCATGTCTACATGCCTAAATGCACGTAGTTGCCGCCATGTGATTGGCTGCTTAGAAATTAAGTGTTAACGAGCAGTTGGACAGGTGTACCTAATAAAGTGGCCGGTGAGTGTATATATATATATATATATTCATCACAGAATCCTGAAAATGGCTTCTGAAAATTCAACTTTGCCATCACAGGACTTCTTTAAAAAAATCTTACCAACCCCAAACTTTTGAACTGTAGTGTATTATCTGTCAGATATTCAAACCCTGCTCTTCCCTCTAGTCTTACCTCCTTGTGGCTCTTCCATGCAGTAGACTTGGAAGCAGTCGATAATGTCATCCTCATTGACTCTCCAATACACAGTGACGGAAGTGCTGGTTGCAGAATTGGCCTCTTGAGGCTGGAGATGTGGTTTTTGAGGAACTACAAAATGAGTAATAATTCAAGTCAGCAAAACGTGAGGGGTGTTTATCTGCAATGGAAATCTTAGCTGAGGCGCACCTGGAATGGCTTGTCTGTTTTTCCTCTCATTGCCTGATTTGCCCTTGGCATAGTCCTCAAAAACCAGCAGCCCTCGTGGACCAAGTTCAAGTGACATGGTGGATTCCAAAGCTGTATTCAACCTAATTAAAAAATAAATGGAAGGGTCACTGGAAGAAAATCCAGCTTATCACAATATTTTCATCATGTGTAAAAACCCCATGCGGTAAATTATTTGATTTCTATTCATTTAAAGGCTACAAACACTTGATTTAACATTGTTTTGAACATAGCAAACTCAACAAGGCAACTAAAACAAGCTTCATCAAGCTTCTATTCGGATTAATTTAATATGCAGATCATTTTTGAAGTATTGTAATTAGCATTCGATGTTAGGAAAGTCACTGGATGCAACATAAATTCAAGCCATTCAGTTACCTCATATTGATATCTTTTGATGACTGAAAAGGGGTGAAAAACAGCTTGATTAGACTAAAATATCTATTCTAGATAGTTCATCTCTCTTAACAAATCTTAGCTAAGCACTTTAAAAATGCTTCAAAAGCAACTATGGCTTTGGACAAAATCAATACATTAATACTAATCTTAATGCATGATATACTTTAAGCGAGTAACTAACACACAAATGAGGAAAGCCTCACAGAAAGAAACTTGAGTGGGTCCGTTTCTTCCTCCTCCTTAGCCGTCATCTCCATAGTCTCCTTGGCCTTGTCGATATTCTCCTGGAACGACACAATCTGGTCGTACAGCTGCTCCAGTTTGGCCTTTTTCTCCTCCTCCATGGCCTGAGACATCTCATTATACTGATCCATCACCAGCTTCACCACCTCCTCATTGTGCTCATTTATGATCTTCTCACAATCATTAAAGTTCTCCTGCGGGAGCAGCACAATAAAGCTACACATTAGTTCTCAGTAACCTTTCTCACTTTAATAGCATCCCCAAGCTGACAGTGCACTAACGTAAGCACTACAAAACTCTCACTCCAGATTTTTGGGAGTGCAAAATTCACCTTCATGATGCTAAGATTTTGTGGGTGGTTGCCAGGACATTGCTACTCATTTTCTAGGGCAGTCACAACCATTTTGACCTGATGTGTATGATCTTTTGGTCTCTAGATGTGACTTTGTTTTTATTGTTTGTTTTTTTAAAGGTATTTTGATGTAATGCTTATTCATGCAAAATTGATCTAATGCATATTTTTAAATCAGGAACAATGCGTTTCATTTGTTAAATAACATTTCAATGTGTTAAAATTCATTTTGGGATTTCTTTTTTTGTCATGTGGTACAACCAAATATTTGTAAAAAAAAATTATATATATATATAATATATAATATATATATATATATATATATATATATATATACATACTGTATATATATATATATATATATATATATACATATATATATTCTTGTGAAATCTTAAGTAACTCTTAGAGTGTCTAAAGTGCCTAACTCATTACTATTTTGTGGTTGTTTTTATTCATATTAATATGGTAATATGGTAGATATTTAGTATATTTAGCATTCAATTTTACTTTAAAGACAGAAAAATAATCATATAAGTTTACCGGTAAATGCATTAAATACTATTCACAATCTAGTTTTCAGCCATTTCAGCCATCACTTTGACCTTCAGTATTATTAGTTAGATTAGAAATTACATGGTTGTACCACCTGATGAATATAAGTTATGTCACCTGACAACATTAAAATGACAGGGATAAAACATTTTTTTCATTTCAATTACATATAAAAAATAAAATACAAATACAAGTGTTTAAGTCATCAGTCTCTATTGAAGTAAAAGTAGTAAATTTATCAAAATCAGAATAAATCACGTCATCACATTCGTAACATGGGAACTGGAATAAGCTACAGTGCACTATATTGGTTAGATACACTGTAATCGATTGTGACTGAATAACAACAAAGTTATGTTTTATATTGATACAAAAAGAATCATCAGCTTAAGTCAGTTGAGAATTGTAAGTGTTTTGCAAAACAACATGAACAAGTGCATCATACCTAACGATTTTTTGGGTGAGTACATACTGTAGTTAAGGACACCTAATATAAAGTGTGACCAATTTTTCTTTACAATAATCAATCTTTTGCCTATGCTAGCAAGGTCATAAACAGTTTATACATTTTAAATACAAAAAAGTTTATGATAAAAAGCATTTTTCTAGTTTAACATTGGTTGTACCAACTGACATGGAAAGTGTACCAACCTACCCATAATTGAAAGTAGCTATTTTTATCAGTATTTGAGAGAGATCTACAAATCTTTTCACTCTGCCACAGGGATCAGTTGGTCTCCTCTAGATTATGCATTATCATGTTTACTGTTATTACCTTGTCAATTCATAATAAAAGAGCCATGTTTGCAGTTGTGACATTTGATAATGAACAAATTGCCGGACAAAAGTTTTTCAATTATCTCAAAAGCCTAAAACTATTGCTATTTATAAAAATTTGTTTATATGAAAGGTTTCAAACATTAAGTTATGTCTTAGTATTTTATTTTGACATTTAGGGGTTTAAGATACCAAAACATAAATAATAATATTTTATAATGTACTAAAAATGAATGCAAACTAAAAAGGTTTTATAGAATAAAGCAATATATGTCATGAATTTATCACATTATTTATAAGGAAATAATGCACTTGGAGACAAAAATATGCATGTCATGTCATTGACCCAAATTAAGTCTATGGGATTGTATTTATAGTCTACTGAGCTAAAACAACATTCGGTACAGGATATGTTCTGTATGTGTAAATGAATGCATAATAATGCAAATACCTCCACTGTGTTGTATGCCAGTTCAAGCTCAGATACAAAGTCTTCAATATTCTCTGATCTTCCTTGTAAAACTGATATCAGTTCACTCAGCTGATTCTGAAAAAAAAATCACATCGAAAGTTACATTAGACAGACAACATGAAATATTTTGAGGCACAAACTCCTATTTCTTTCATACTTGTCTTGCAAATATTATTTTATTTTCTCCTTTGGATTTTTCCTACTTGTAAATATCAAATCACATTGGTGCAGTACTGGAATAAACCACAGTTGAATCATGGAAACAGCTGTCTACTTCCAGCTCTTGCTATGAGTCAGTCGGTTCTGACTCATCTGCTATGAATGCTGTCAAAGGCCAATAAAGTAAACAATCTCTCATCGTCTCAACATGATTTATACTCAAATATTCTTGTGAAGTGAATATTCTGATTATGTGTTTTTATCATTTGGTTATATTAGACACTGGAGGAGTCCTTCTGTAAACACATGAGTAATTAGTGACAAGCTCTCCAAACAGGCCAGCAGTGAAAGATCAGATGTCAAGCTGATGTCAGGAAATCATGTCTTAGCACTCTTTCAAAGCACAGGGAGCTTAACTTACCTTAACACTGTCATAGGCCTCATCCAAAGAGGCCATCTCATGGTTTTGATGCTCAGCCTCACTCAGCAGTACTGGACAACGGCAAACGAGGCAGAACGCATCCATTGGTTGAATTTCAAGTTCCTCTTGATGTTCATATTCCGCCATTTGTGCACTATCCAAATCCTCAACAAATTCAAAGTCTTTTTCCAGAGTTTGATCTGACAGTCGAACTTGTTCACAGTGCCCATCCTCAGCTAGAGCTTGTTCACACTGTCTTGCCTCTTGTTCGGTGACCATCTCATAACCAAGTTCCTCTGCAATTTCCTGCAGCACATTTTGGTCGCAGCTCAAGGTCGACAGGTCCTCTTGAGGTGTAAAACTTCGCAATTGTGAGAAGACACCTTTATCCCTACTTAGGCTTCCTCCTTTATGTATATCTTCATACATTTTGTCACTATCCTCTGGCTCTAAAGGTGAGACTCTCATTGCTGAGGGGTCATCTTCATCAACTGGAGGAGGCGAAATGGGCTCTGGTAGGTCTGTTATATCTCCAATCTGTGCATCAATCTGTGTTTTCTTTCCTTCCTCTAATGTTTTTGTTGATGTTAGAGGTAACATCTTATTCTCAATATCTGTCCAACTAGTGGCTGATTCTTTCAATGGGATCTCTCCGGTTAATATGGTCACGTCATTTATTTCACTATATTCTTCTACCTGTTCCTCATTTGTTGGTACAACAGCTGGCAGTCTTACTTTTGATAAGTCCTCTACGTTGTCTGTTACTTTTATCTCTTCCGTGCCTTCACGAGCAAATGCCTCCATGTCATTAGCTAACAATATGCTATATTCTTGCCTTGAATTAATCATTTGATTCATCTCTGTTGCCACTTTTTTCTCAGAAGGTATCTCGTCCTGAACAGGCTCATTTGTGGTGTCAACCCTCTCATTTGCTTCCTCTGTAACATCCACCTTGATTTCCTCAACTTTTTCATGTTTTTCTGTAACCACATGTTCTTCAATCTTTGGTATGTCAACATGTTCTTTTTGCGTTTCCAGCCTTTGCTCAACCAATGGTGCCTCGTTGGTTGGCCTATCTGTACTTGTCCACTCTTTGGCTTTCTTGTTTGTTGCAATGAATTCATTGTGTAATACATCTGGATACATTTTCTCCTCGCTTGTAATATCAGATTTAGTCTGAAGTTCAATGTTTGCTGTATCTGTTTCATTTGGATGTGACTGCTCTAATGAGGTCTGAACAGAAGTAAATTTAGACTCTGGCTTTATTTCAATTTCTGTTAACACATCTGATGTACCAATATGAGCCTCAACCTCTTGCGCTGCACCAATTTTGTCAATTACCTGCTCTTGTTTTTCCTTTTCGGGAATTAATCCTTCACTCACTTTATTCTCAACCACAGCAAGCATTTCTCCATTTTCATGGACTTGAGAGTCATTTTCAAAAGATTTTGCAGAAAGTTTAACTTCAGTATATGTTGTAATTGTTTCAGTCTCTTCTAAAGGCTTGACTTCTTTCTCTACTTTTGAAGGTTCCTCAGTTTTTGGAGGTTCTGTTCTATCTAACAGAGGTTCTTTGAGAATGACAACCCTCTGAGCAATTATTTCTGGTTCTTCTCTTTTTAATATTTCAGTAATGCCTTTATCGACCCTTGAGGTAAGATTTTGCTCTAAAATTTCGCCTTGTGTCTTGGTTTTATTATTCTCTCCTTCGTCATTTTTAGTAATAGTACTTGTTTTCTGAATGTCAGCAATGGCATCAGCTACTTCATGACGTCTATCCACACTGCCCTCAGAAACACTAATGTTTTCAACAGCATGTGGTACATCGGACTGAATCTTCTCAGAGCTCTGTGTTACAGACATAATTTTAAATTCATCTTTAGTTTTAAAAACATCTTCATGCGCTAACCCCCCAGGCTCTTGAATATGAGCAGTCAGACTTATTTGTTCCTGTCCACTGCAATCTACTTCACTGATGGTTTTGCATTCTGGCTCAAGGACTTGATCCATCTGACGTTGTGTGTCATTGAGGGCACTTTTAGTTGTGATATTGTCCTTGATAATGACAGTGACATCACATTGCTTTTCATTTTCCCTACTATGCTTCGCTACCAGGTCGTCTGATGTGACCGTTCCTGTAAAGATAATTTCCACCTCTTGTTGGATTTCTGGAGCACAGTGTCCCTCTGAACAACACTCTGTGGACTCACACTGTACTTCACCTTCAATTTTATCTTGCACACATGGTTGATCGACAGTTACTTCCTCATTTTCTTCTTGTGCTTTATCTAAACATCCAGTGAGTTCAAATTTACTTTGTGACCATGCTAATTTCCCCCCATCTTCCTTTTCTTTGGCCTCAGGTACATTAGCAACCACTGGTGTTTCATCCTTCAATATGAATTTCTCCAGATATCCATCTGCATCATCAGAATCAGAGTATCTCCTTTTGAAAGACCGTTCTGAAACAACACTCTCTGTATCTGAGAAGTCGTCTTCTTTCTTCCGGTCTCCTACTGTGTCCTCATAAAGGTCTGAGTAATGGAAGGACATTGCTCGTGGTTCCTCAAGAAGGACAAGATCTATGATCTTTGGTGGTCCGGTAGGGAGGTATACAGGTGTGAGGATACATTCCTGACTCCCGAATAAGACTGATCCACTCTCTTTAAGAGATTTAGAGCTCTCTTTTGCTGTACTTCCAACTCTGCCCTCACGCTCTTGGGGAGGCTCTGCATTCAACTTATTTCCATAAAACACTTCGTCAAGATGCTCACCTGCAATTTCAACATCACTGATGAACACAAAGGAATCATCATCAACAGCTTCATCTACTTTTGGTTCTTTGAGGTTCTCTTGAGGTTCCTCCGGCTGGACAGTCACTTCTGGTTCAAGTTTTTCCATCAGTGTAGTGCCATCACTAGGTGCCTGCTCATCTAACAGTGTGAATTTTTCAAGGTAGTCCATATGAGTTTCATCCTTTTTGATCTGTTTGTCAGCAAAGATCTGGGATGAATCCTTCAAGCTTTCATTTTGCTTTATTTCCTCAATGTCTATCTTCACAGGACAACTGTTTGTAGCTACAGGTTCATGCTTATGTTTGGATTTTATCTTTGGGGTATCATCCAAGTAGGCTAAATTCTCCACCAGTTCAGTGCTATCTTCCTCATCTACTGTAGCAAGCTTTGACGGTACAACAATATTGAGTATTTCAAAACCATCTGATATCAAACTAAAAAGATCTTGATCCTTGCTTCCAGCAGGCATACCATCCTCATTGCTTTCAGACCTGATATTCGGCACTGACACCTCAATCATTGCAGGTCTTTCCTCACCTATCCGACTTTTTGGCAGTCTGGAGCTTGGCTTTTTAAACCTGTCACCTAGCTTGCCTCTGCTGCTTGTTTTTTTCCTCTTTATTCTGTCTTCATCCATTATGATCACAATATTCCCCTGTGTTCCGGAACCTTCCATGCTGTATTGTTCAGATGGAGAGCTTCCTTCTGAAGCCCATGGAGTTGAGCATCTACTGGAAGCCGTCTCCCATACTATCCCACTGTCCTCACTCTGTACCGTCACCATAGAGAAGGATGGGTCAACCATCAGACACTGGAGTTTAGGCTTCACTGATGGATCCTGCATAACTTCCTTTAAACTAACCAAAAATAGTTTAGAAACAGGTATGGTTCAACAAAGCAATGTAGTATAGAATACAGCAGTCTATGGCAGATATTGTAGCGTTGTATGTTTAGTGCTTAACTAATGATGTTTGTAAGTTAAAGGGATAATTCACCCAAATATGAAAATTCTGTCATCATTTACTCACCCTCAAGTTGTTCTAAACCTGTATAAATTTGTTTCTTCTACTGAACAAAAAATATATTTTGAAGAATGTCGGTAACTAAACAGTTTGAGCCTCATTGACTTCCATGGTATTTTTTCCCACATACTATGGTAGTCAATGGGGCCCATCAACTGTTTGGTTACCCATATTCTTCAAAATATCTTCTTTTGTGTTCAGCAGAAGACAGAAATTCATACAGGTTTAGAACAACTTGAGGGTGAGTAAATGATGACAGAATTAAAATATTTGGGTGACTATCCCTTAAAAGTATCAGTTAATGATGTTTGAAGTTAAAAACAATTAGTAGAAGCATGCAGGAGCTAGAATATCTGCTTATTACAGACTTGGAAGTGGATTTATCAATAACTGAACATACGTTTTTTATATAAAAATAAATTAAGTTTGCAAACTTTTTTGTGGCTACTTAAATGGTGTTTGCGAATATATTATATATTTACAAAAATAAATAAACGTAGGCCTATTTGCAACAAAAGAAAGTGTAACTTTTTGTTCAAAACTTTTGGGTGTCAATCACCCAAATTAGGTGGTGATGAGGGAAATAACATTCATATTTAAAAAGATCTACGAGAAAATATAATTAATCCCATTTTTATAACTATTTTCGCCCGTGTCAAACTACCTTTTATGAAGGTCCTCAATCTCATCTTCGTCGTCGATATCGATTATTCCTGGCCCCACGTCCTGCAATTCCCCCATCTCTGGCTCTGCCCCCTCACATTCCCCTTTCACAGCACGATCCATTTTGATAATCGAAATATGTTGGTGTTATTTTAAAGTAATAAACGGTCTTGGCTAGTACAGCTTCGTGTTGGGATCATGTCTCGTTGGGAGCAGTTTGCCTTACTCAGCGGCTGCTGTAAATAGATTACAAATATTCCTGTGCTCAAGGCTGCGCACTTGGAAAACAGTCACCGTTGTCCCCGTTCTTTAAAGCCCGAGTTAAGGATATTGTCCAATATTTTTCATTTCCTTTGTCAACTTCAAGCAGTAGCACATCGTTCACCATGTCCAGAACAGTAAAGCTTGCATGAAACTACAGTGGCGGTGTCCCCTGTAATATGACACGCAGAGAACACCGCCATGTCCATGAGGGACAGGAGTGGAGGACTCAGGCCACCGTACCGTAGTGTCAGTTTCTTTTGGCTGTGCTAATTTTACTCTCTAACCCCCCAAGCAGCCATATCAACGTTCTTAAACTCATATCATGCAATGAATCGAGCATAACAACCCATTAACGGATAAATCACATTATCACATTTACTTGCGGTTGAAAATGTTACTGTAAGCTAAACTGCTCCACGCAGAAACCTATCCAGTTCAAAAGTATACTCAATTGACCAATACAATTCTCTAAACATACTAAATATAAGGTGGTCATAAAAAGAATTAACCTTAAAATAGGAAATGTAGAGGTTTTACCAGGTGTAAATACAATTGGTTTATCATTTCTCTATTTGAATAACAATAGCAAAAGAGAGACATAGAAGAACACTAAATTAGAGACAATAGGCAAAATACAATTCCATAGTGACATTTTAATTATTTAAATAAAAACTTAAAAGACTGTACATATACAACTATACAAACATGACAGAACATAAACAGAAAACCCATCACTGTAAAGGTTCAGGTAAAAATAGTCATTTGCCAGAAACTATTGTTTTTATTGTTTTTTTTTAAACAATTTTGGGGGTTTGAGGATAACAAAGATCAGAAAGACAGAAAAGTTGTGCATAAAGCAAGATTAGACAATTTTTCTGCTTTATTTCAGTGAGCTGAAAAATGGTTATATTGGCTAATAAACCAAAAATTGCTCACAAAATAAATGTTTTGCAACAGTAAATTTATTTAATGAATATAAACTGTATTCCACATGGGAAAAAGATATTGCTCAGTCTCTGACGTTACATGACATGTACATCTCAAACATAGACACTGATGCTCAGGGTCGACCTGATTATATCCCCGTCAGCTTATTGGATTTGGCTCAACACATTCCAAAAGGTCCAGTATATCCAAAAGCCCTTGTAAAAGAGTAAAGCATTTCTTTTCACAATGTCAAGATGGTATTTGGGGACTCCAGGTTTAATCCATTCTCTATGTTCGTTCTTACTTATCTGGGGGCAGCCTAAAGTCTTGCTATGTTTTTGGTCTTGTGTTTTTGAGGGGCAGGATGCAGTTGAGATCTTTTCTCAGCTTCAGAACCTGGTAGGACTGTAAATGATCAATAAAAGAGCTTGCATTACCAAACATGAACTCAGTGCTGTTGCAAAAGGCCTTGTTCACAAATAAGATCATAAAAAATATTTCTGCAAATGTAACTACGGTAAACATTCCAGTTCATTATTTCCCCATTCCTCAAGACATCTTTTGCTTTCTTAAAACAGAACTTGCATTATGGAGCATAAATGCATACACTGCAAGAAGACTTTTGTTTTTCAGATTTCACTCTTTATAAAACCTTTATAGAACTACATTATGGCATAATACATTAAATATTATACCGTATAACACTGACATGCTTATATTTGCGACTTTACCAAGTTTATTTTATTATATGTATTAAAAATGTATAATTAAAAATGTATTATATTTTAATACTGACATATGGAGGCTTACCTCTGTAAATTCTGCTTTAATGGCATCAAACTTAACTTTCTCATGAACGGCTCTGGCTGTGTTTGTACGATCAAATGGCTCTGAAACAAAGTAGAAATATTCATGTTCTAAGGGCTAAATAAACGTTAATAACAATAAACCACTGTTATACTTGCATATTCTTTCAGTGCATGATGTACAAAGATTCTGAGAATGTGTACCTTCTACACAGACGAACTTCCCTCTCCATTCTCGGCCGCGGCTCTTGGGGAAAGTTTTTGCTTCACGCACAGAGATCACATGCTTATCCCATCTGTGGAAACATAACAATGAACCGTAAAGACATGCATGTCAATGTCAATGCATTCAGACTTGTTTATTCAAAGAAGCACATGCACATATCAAGTGTTATGAACATTAGAGCAGGCCATCTGGACCAGGGAAAGGCAGAGGTTCACCTGCTGTTGTCAATCTAGCAAAGTGACATGAAACAGGAGCCTTGCAGGTGGCTTAGATTTAGGTTAGCTTTTGTTAGTAGCATTGGCTAACAAACCTGCTATGTAAACTATTAAAGAAATATTACACATTTGATTGACAATTATTATGCAATTGCACTAAAAATTCAAAGACAACAAAGTAAATCAGGTGGGATACAAAATGCGTGACCTAAAACTAGTTTTCACATGCATTTAATAGCTTACTAGTGTAGGATATTTTTAGAATGTTTTCTTGTTTTGCCCTAAATATAGGTTTGACTTGTGCTATGAAATCAGTAGTAATGTTACTTACTTGAAGACAGTGGCATAGTACTTCAGAAAACCCAAGAGCAAGTCTCCCAGTGATGACTGGTTTTTAGACACAAAGGCTGGGATATTGCTTGGTCCACTCGGGACAAGATGAATGTCCATCTTAGGGTTGAAGCACTCCTGGAAGTAGTGGTTTCAGAAAGAATTTAAAAAGCAGGAAAAAAAATGTGTGCATAATTCATTCATTAATTTATTAGACAATTTGCTCACTGGATAATCCCTTTGGAGGCATGGAATGACAGGTTCAGGAAGGGCTATATGAGGTTGAAACATTTGGAACAGAACAAAAGCAGAAAAGCATAATATAAGAGAGCTTCTAAGATTACAGATCTGGTACTCATAATAATAGTTTAGTGCATTAGATCTTAACAATTCCCCCCAAAAAAGACTTACTCTGAAGGTAGTGCAGGATCATAAGAACCAGCGTGTAGCTGCTCAGCGTTGCTCGGCTGGCATCATTGATGCAGTGATGATTGGCCCATTTCTTTATTACAAGGATGATAGGACGAACACGTTTTTCGACTGAAATAAATACAAAACCAGAAACAATTAAATATTTTCACAAAGATCTCAATTTAGCACAGAATTCTGAACTTACCATATGCATACGTCCGCAGTAAGAAGGTGTTTCTGATACCAACAGTGTTGTTGAAGTTCAAGTCAAACTCCACACCACTGGTATGCAAAAGAATTCCAGAAAAACTGTGGTTAGCTGTTGTATTGAACTTTTGTTTTCAGATAACATTGTCTTTAATGACTTCCCAGCAAACAACCAACCCTGTTTGTCTGCTACATTTGGCTTTGTCATTCTTTGTATGTAGTACACTACTGTTCAAAAGTGTGGGTTGAGTAAGACTTTTTAAATGTTCCTCTTATGCTCAACAAGGCTGCATTTATTTGATCAAAAATACAATAGAACAGTAAAACGGTTAACTAATATTACAATTTAAAATAACCGTTTTCAATTTAATTACATTTAAAACATTTATTCAGTATCACATGATTATGGAAGCTGGTTTCCACCACAGAATAAAAAATGTACAAAGTAATTGCGACTTTTTCTCTCACAATTCTGACTTTTTATCTCAGAATCACATTATATAAAGTCGCAATTGCGAGTTATAAAGTCAGAATTGCGTGATATAAAGTCAGAATTGCGAGATATAAACTCGCAATTGTGGGGAAAAAAGTCAGAATTGCAAGTTTATTTCTCGCAATTCTGAGTTTATATCTCGCAATTCTGACTCAGTGACACGCAATTCTGAGAAATACAGTCAGAATTGCGAGATGTAAACTCGCAATTCTGAGATAAAAAGTCACAATTATCTTTTAAAATGTTTTATTCTGTGGCGGAAACAAGCTTCCATACATGATCCATCAGAAATCATTCTAATATGCTGATTTGGTGCTCAAGAAACATTTCTGATTATTATCAATGTTTTATTTTTGTGCTTAATGTGCTTAGTTTTGTTGTTGTAGGTATTTTCAGTATTCTTTGATGAATACAAAGTTTAAAAGAACAGCATTTATTTGAAATAGAAATCTTTTGTAAATATAAAAGTTTTTACTGTCACTTTTTATCCATTTAATACATCCTTGCTAAATAAAATTATACATTTCTTTAAAAAAATATTGTTTAAACGGTAATGTATATGACACAAAAATTTAAAGGACTTACCTGACTCTGTCCCTGAACTTTAGAATGGGCACTTTGGCCCTGATCAGCTGAGGCCTCTCAATGTAAGCTGTGAAACAGCAATCATGCCATATTAGTGAACGTAACAAAGCCATTGTGAATAGAACATGAAACTACTGTAGACAAATTCATGGCAAAACACTTACACAGCTGGTAAAACAATTGCCTCACAAGACTAAGAACATATACTGCATCTGTTCTGGTGTTTCCCTACGGAGGAGTATGTAGAGAGTTAAATCTAAGACAGTAAAGCCCGAACAATTAGTATAGAAACCATTTGGACAGAACACAAACACAAAGCATTCGTCCTCTACAATACACTTACCGTTCCTTCTTCAAAGACAAGACAAAGATCAGCATCACTGGTGCGACTACCAAAGCCATTTAAAGATGACCCGCCCAAGAAGACTCGTGCACCTATTCCAGAAGTAGAGAAAAGACTGAAATGGAGAACAATTTCATGAAGGACGCACCTAACCCTATGGCTAGAGAAGATACCAAGATACCAGATACCTGGGAAGATTGTCCGGATATCCCTCTGCAACACTGCTCGACAATTTTCCTTCTTCTCCAGATCATCACTCTGTTGCTCACAAGCATGAAACAGGTCGAGAATCTGCTGACTTAGCTGTGGGCAAAGAACAATAAATATAATACTGTAAAAAAAAAAAAAAGTACTTCTCTAGTCTACACTTTGCCTCAAATAAAGGTAATATTACTAGACTCTTAAAAATAAAGGTTCCAAAAGAGGGTTTTCACAGTGATGCCATTGAAGAACCATTCTGGGTCTCCAAAAGAACCTTTCAGTCAACAGTTCTTATTTTTGAAGAGAACATTTTAATAATCTAGAGAACTCTTTTCACTATAAAGAACATTTTGTGCAATGGAAAGGTTTCATGGATGTTAAAGGTTCTTCATGGAACCATTAATGCCAATAAAGACCTTTAGTTTTAAGTGTGTAAGTCAGTCAGAAATTATGGCTTTTATCTGCATATTCACCTTATCATTGA